GAGTTCAAAACCAACCTGGGCACCATAGCAAGCAGGACTTTCTCAAAAAATAAAATATAAAATAAAATAATATAAATAATAGAATCGAATAAACTAAACTAGCTTGCTTTGATCATCTTAAGATTCATATTGCCACGAACCATATGTCCTGTGCTTTTCTCGGTGTTAGGATTAAATGTTTAGTGTCTTTTAGTAGATTTTTAAAGATCTTTTAAATTTTAATTTTTGTATGAGCCTTTTGCCTGCATTATATGTATGTGTATCTCACGTGTGCCTGGTGCCTGCAGAGGTCGGAAGAGGACATGAGATGCCCTGGAACTGGAGGTCATGGGAATGGAAACCAGGTCCTCTACAAGAGCAAAAAGTGTTTTTTGTTTGGTTTGGTTTGTTTTTTCAAGACAGGGCCCAACAAAAAGCTGAGTTTTTTTTTCCCCAGAGCTGAGGACCAAACCCAGGACCCTGTATTTGCTAGTCAAGCACTCTACCGCTGAGCTAAATGCCCAACCCTGAAAAAAGTGCTATTAATATTAAGCAGTCTCTCCGGCCCCTATCTTTAGAAACAGGCAAACCTGATGGCTGTGGGGTTTTTATTCTTTAGCTGCTAGCAGAGATTGAATCTAGTATCTAATGGCTGAAGTTGAAGTGCTCTACCTTGAACTCTCAACTTGGGCTGCCAAGTCCAGTTTCTCTAGCCTTAAATTTTTTGTTGTTTGTTTGAGACAGGGTCTCACTTTTAGCTCTGGCTGTCCTAAAATTCACTCACTATGTAGACTAGACTGGCCTCAAACTTAGAGGTCCACCTGCCTCTGCTCCCCAAGTGCTAGAATTAAGGGCACCTGGGGGAGCAGAGGCACCACACCTGGCCCTCTAGCCATTTTTAATTGTGTAGTTCAACAGTGTTAATCTGCATGATTGTGAATCAAATCTGTAGAACTTTTCAGCTTCTAAATCTGAAACCTGGACACAAAGGGACTCCCAAGCCCTGGTAACCATGATGTTCTTTCTGCTCTAGTGAATCTGTCTGATTTAGATACTTACTGTGTGTGAAATCACATAGCACTTCTTTTTGCGAGGGGCTTAGTGTTCGTCCAGGTGTGTGCTAAATCGCCTTCCCTTTTAGGGTGTAACAATTCCCTGCATGTGTATACAGTTTATTCACTTGTGTCAGTAGACTGCTGTTTGGATAACGTTACAGTCACCATGGCCCTGTAGAAATAACTTTGGGACATCCTAGTTTCAGTTATTTTGAATAAGTGTTCTGACGTATGATAGTTTTAGGGTTTTGGGTGGTATGTTTTGTTTTTGTAGTGAGCATTAGGTCTTGCGTCTTTCACATTCTATACAAGTTACTCCTATCACTGAACTGTTTCCCTAGCCCTTAAAAAATTTAAATAATTTTTTGAGACGGGGTTTTGCTAGCCCAAGCAGACCTTGAATGCAAGATCTTCCTGTTTTTTTTTTTTTTTATGCCTCCCAACAATTACAGACTTGCACCACCAGCTCTGACTATTTGTAATTTTTGCAGGAGATTCCATTGTTTCCCTTAGCTTGTTGGATGTACTGTTTCAAAATCTCTCAGTCAAGAGCCAACAATAAATAAGGACTCAAATTTCTCTGTACCCATATTGAAATTTTATTGTATTGTTACTGCATTTCTTTGGTGACTGGTGATGTTGAGTATCTTTTCATAGGCATATGGCCTTTTAGATAGCATCTTTAGAGAAATGTTTATGCAAGAGCTTTGTCAGTTTGAATTGGTTTCTTTTTTGCAATACACATATGTATATGTTAATTTTCCATCTGTATCTTTGGTAAAGTGTGTATTCAGCTCTTCTACCCATTTTTTTAATGTTGAATTTTTATGTTTTATTTATTTGTTTGGTTTTTGTTTTCAAGATAGGGTTTCTCTGTGTAGCTCTGGCTGTCCTGGAACTAGCTCTGTAGACCAGGCTGTCCTCAAATTCAGAGATCCTCCTGTCTCTACCTCATGAGTGCCGGGATTAAAGGAGTGTGCCGCCACTGACTGTCTTCTACACATTTCAAACCTGCTTTTTTGAGGGTTTTTTTTGTTGTTGTTTCGTTTTGTAAGTGATTTCTGTTTCCTTTTATTTATGTGTATGTGTGTGTATTGTCACTTGTATGGATCTGCCTGTGGAATTACATATGATTGTGAGCCTCTGTGGGTGCTGGCAACTGAAGTTGGGTCCTCAGCAAGAGCAAGTGCTGTTAACCATTGAGCCATCTCTCCAGCCTTTCTGTTGTGCCTTTCTTGACTCAATCATGAATATCTTCTATACTTCTGAAAGTTGTATTTTTGACATTTACATCTGTAGTCGTCTATTTTGAAGTAGTTTTGTATAATGCATAAGTTGTATGTCAGTTTATTTTTAAAGAAACATGTCTAGTTTTGACTTCTTTTTCTTCTTATTATTATATTATTGGTTTTTTGAGACAAAACTGTTTTGTGTAACAGTCCTGGCTATCCTGGAACTCGCTCTGTAGTCCAGGCTGGCCTCAAACTCACAGAGATCCTCCTGCCTCTGCCTCCCAAGTGCTGGGATTAAAGACGTGCGCCACCACCGCCTGTCTATGACACCTAGTTATTAACAAGACTATTTTTCCTTCATCTCTTTTATAGTTCTGTCAGACGTCAGTTCATGGTCGGGTGTGGTGGCACCTACCCTGAATTTCAGCACTCAGGAAGCAAAGGCACTTTGCATCTCTGTGAGTTCAAGGCCAGCCTGCTCCAGACCAACCAGGACTGCATAATCGAGCCCCTGTCTCAACAACAACAAACCCACCAGCTCACTATGTTTCATCCGTTGCTATTTTACCCACACAGTACTTGTTTTCCTTTTTAATTGGGAGGTTCACTCCCAAGGCTTCACCTATGTTACACTCGACCACTGAGCCCCAGCCTCCACTACCTTGCCAGTTTTCATTTCTTTAGTGTTGGTGTGTTTCGTAGACTGGTTGTAAACTTATGGGCTCAAGTGATCCTCCTGCTTCAGTTTCCAGGTAACCGTGACTATAAGCATATGCCACTCTGCCTAGCTATATAGAGTATCTTGATTGGCTTATTGCAGCTTTAGGGACAGTTTTGAACATTTGGCCACAATTCTTCCACCTTTGTTCTGCTTTGTAGTTATTTTTGGCTTTTATGGAGTTTTGTCTTTCCCGTATTTTAAAATCAGCTTGCTGCTATGTTCAGTATTCTTTCTAGGGCGTATGGGATTTTGTAATCTCTGAAGATCATTTTATGGAAAATTGGCATCTGTACAGGTGTTTGGTTCTTTTTGTTAGTGCTTTAGTTTTCATGTACAGATCTTGTAGATAATTGGTTAAAATGTATACTTGGGTTCTTCACTTTTTCCTGATGCTGTTATAAATGTCACTTTTTTCTCTTTTGTAAAATTAATGTTCTATCTTTCATGTATATGAGTATTTTTCTAGCGTGTAGGTATATGCACCACATGCATACCTGGTGCCCAAAGAGGCCAGAAGGGGTATTGTGTCCTCAGGAGCTGGAATTATAGGTAGTTGTGAGCCGTCGTGTGGGTGCTAGAAATGGAGTCCAGGTCTTCTCCAATAGCAGCATATACTCTTAGCCAGTGAGCCATCATCTCTCCAGCCCAATTGTTTGGTTTTTGTTTTGTTTTTTGAGACAGGATCTCTTAGAGCCCTGGCTGACCCCAGGCTCACTGTGTAGCCAGGGACGACCTTGAAACCCCTGTCCCTGCCTGTCTCCACCTCCCAAGGAAAGATTAAGCATGCAC